ATCGTTGTCGTCATTCTGGAAATCCAAGAACGAGAGAGTGACTGCGAGATGAGTCGGATAATCACGTGAGCCACTACGATCTTCTTATTGGAAATCGATGTATCATAAAATATCGTAATGAGTATGTATACACGAAATAAATATATAATTTTTTTGATCATCCAGACGTTAATTAAATCCAAACGGAATTGGAAAGATCATGTTGCGAGTGACGAGTTATGCGGCAATGAGTTACAAGAAGTTGTGAGCCACGCAACGTGAAAATTACGTAAATGTGTGAGACTTTACCTTGTCACTTGAGTAACGTGAATCGATAAATTTCGAGAGAAGGTTCAAGATAATGCAGCGGGATTTGCATATGTAATAAACTTCAGCAGCTTGAATTGTTTACCCGTCACAAATTGGAATTGAAATATAGAGACGTTCAATGCGCAGAAACTACTTGGTTGCGACGATATATGAATATGTATTAATGAATTTTTACTATTCATTTTATAATTCACGTCAAAACGAAGGTTCAAACGTACGGATACTTGATTGTCCGTGATAAGATAATTAAATTAGAAACTCAAGATCGCAATATTTTTAAAAATAAAAATAAACAATTTATTAATCTACAGGATCACTAAGAGTCATTGGTTGATGAAAATGCCAACGATTAAATTCTATACCATTAATCGATTGTGTAATTTTTTTTATTTTGAACGTTTCTGCTCTCTTTGGAATCCTCTTCAGCAATATTTCAAATCCTAATTCGTTGAACTTTCCGTCAAATGTAAGTCACTAACAAGTTCCTGAAGTGGATCCTGATTTGAAATATATAAAAAATATATTAAAATTGAGTCAATAAGAAAAAATCATATCCCAGCAATCTCAAACGAGAAGTTCAATATGTCCATGAAGTTTTGGAAGTTTATATTAACTATATATAATACATTATATATAATACATTATTGAAACAATTATCTTAGTTTTATACATATTAACGATTTATAAACCTTCTTCTCCGGATAGTCAAAAGCGTTTAACGAACAATTTGTTTACTTGAAAAAGGACACACCGAAAAACAAAACAATTAAGTCATATCTAACATTGCAATATTCCTGATATTATAAAGTCATAAATTAGATGTATACAAGATGTGAAAAATACAAATTCTTTACGAAATGATTTAATTGGGCAATTATGCGATTAGAGTTAAGAGATGCTTACTGCCATTTGCATTTAACTAGAAATAATATTTTCACTCTTTCTAATACAATCTCTGATATTTTACCGTTCTTTGTAGATTGTCATTTTTTTTAATATTTAGATCATATTAACAATTCTTACTTTTTTGAACAAATCCTTAGAATTAATGAAAAAAATAGATTGGTTGCGACATAAAAATTTTAAATTATTCAAATCTAAAATTAGACCTATCTCGTAATCTTGTTTCTAATGACACGAATGACAACTTTTTAAATATTCAACTTGTGATTGACAATGTCTCACAAAATATTCATTCTAATTCTGGAAGAATGTCTGTCAACAGTCCATTATATTATCTTTCTCTTTTTTTGCATAATATAATTAATGATAGTATACCAAAAGCTCCTAGTTACGTTAAAGACAGTTTCCATTTGGTTGAGCATTTAAATGATACTGATTTTGATTCTGAATATATTTTAGCCTCGTTAGATGTAGTATCCCTTTTTATTAATATTCCTGTTGAGCTAGCATTAAATAGCATCGATAGGAGATGGGTTTACATCTCAGCGAAGACGAACATATTCAAGAAACGAATTTATTATTGAAGTTAGATTTATTTTAGATTCAATTTTTTTTGCTTTTAAGAACTTATAAACAGGTATTCGGTATTCCAATGGGTTCACCGTTATCGCCGATAATCGCCGACATTGTAATGCAAGATCTAAAAGAAATAGCACTTAAAAAGTTGTCAGTACAACCATTGTTTTATTTTAGATATGTTGACGATGTCATTCTTGCACTTCCATCTGATACTATTAATGACGGTTTAAATATTTTTAACTTTTTACATACGAGATTGCAGTTTACTTTAGAGGTTGGTACAAGTGACAGATTAAGTTTTCTTGATACAATGCTTGTTATAGATAATCAGAGAATTATATTTGACATTTATCATAAGAAGACATTTTCGGGAAAGTTCCTTAATTTCCATTCAAATCATCCTCTTTGCCATAAAAAAGGCATCAGATATTATCAGTTTCATTGACAAAATTATCACATCCACGGTTCCAACAAAAAAATCTGATAAATGCTATTTATACTTTTTTAAATAATTGTTATCCTCTTTCTTTTATCTTCTCTACAATTGAACGAAGATTAAAGTTTCATAATAAATACATATCATATTACACGTAATTCACGAGAGAAAGACAAATATTTTACGATTCCTTACGTCAAATCTATTTCCGAAAGTTTCCTTCCTATCTCCAGTATGTTCCATTGTAAAGATCTAGAATTTGGACATTCTCCCAATCAAAATCATAATATTTTTAGCTGGCATATAGTACGCAGTCTTGACTTTAATGAAGACTTTTATGAGATTATTGATAATTATGATTTTCATTGACATAATAATTCAGACAATCATGCAAATTGATGACTCGATAAAAAAGCGATTGTTCGACACTCCAAATTCGAACGTTTTCACATAAAGCAAATCACGCTCGTAATCAATTTACTATTGATCCTCTTTTGAACTGGCAATGACCCAAAGTCAAGATCTGATCCGCATATGCCTGCTATCAATTAAAGCGAGTACTCTTCGTGGTTAATGAGGTGTATCCCAGGAATACCGAACCTTTGCCATTTCGCTTCACGAATTGTTACAATGCGCCTTTCATCTTTCATCTCAGTTCGAGCTCGTAAGATTCGAGTGCCCCCCCGAACCTTCTAAATGTTCAAGGTTTTCTTCTGAGGTCATTACGATTTTTCGTTTCCGAAATCTGAGCCCGAGGTCACTGAATATTCGAACTACAATGATTTGCAACGAGATCGTAATCGTAGAAGGACAAAAAACAAGCTGAAAACAATTCTCTCTATCATCTATCCATTCTCTTTTGGGTCAATTATCCATGAGAGTTTGCAGAGTTTTTACATGTTATTATGTTAAGCAATATTAAGTGAAATAGACCGAAAAGTGATTAAATAAATAACAGAAAAAAAAGCCATTTTCGGTCAAAGCATGTTTTGCTTAATAATAATCATATGTGAATATATTGTACAAATATAATTATCAATTCTAAGATTACGCGGCGATTCAAGTTGCCAGACTTGAAATACAATCATTATGCATCAAAATAAATTGATACGAATTTATTATATTGATTAAATGACTTATAAGAAAACAAATTGTATGAAATATGTGATATTCTTTTAAAGAGTCCTTATTTTATTTTTATGACAAATTATCAACGAAATTTCTTTTCACGCGTTTCGTAGCCGCCACATGTGAATGATGCGCGTTCGAGAGAACACATAAACGCACAATTGCATTTTTTTGCATTTACAGATTAGAGTACCATTAAAGATAAACTTTTCGGCCAGACCGAAAGACGTGATTGTGTCGATCACAAAGAAACATTTAAGCTGTGGACTGAAAGGTCATCCACCAATTCTTACTGGGGATTTTCCGCACGAGGTCAAACTAGAGGAATCTACTTGGGTAATCGAAGACGGAAAAATATTGCTAATTAATCTAGAAAAGGTGAGTATGGATATAATAAGTGCGATTGCACCCGCGTAAATGCGCTTTTCGTAGCCTCGCCGATCCTCGGCTTTATCGCAACAGTTCTAAGATCGTCCAGCCGCAAATGATTTAAGATACGCATGATCGATTAATATTTCTTTCGCGTCTGATTATCTTCGCGTCTGGTTATATAAACATTTTGTGATTCTGCTTGGTAAATTTTTATCCAAAACTTTATGAAACATAAAACAGTATATTATAATTGTAATTGATCCATGACATACATATATTATATTAAAATAATCTAAATTTCGATGAATGAAAATATCGATATATATATTTACGTACAATAGATAAAAACAAGACGTTATTAGTAGTAATAGATATAATTTTATATAGTATAGATTAATTTTATTAATTTGCGTAATGATGGCGTAATAATAGCAATATTCTTATAATTTGCAATGAAATTAACATTCGCCGATTGCAGGTAAACAAAATGCAGTGGTGGGCACATGTTATAACGAGTGAGCCAGAAATTAGCACAAAGAAAGTAAACCCCGAACCTAGTAAACTCTCTGACCTCGATGGAGAGACAAGAGGCCTCGTGGAGAAAATGATGTATGATCAGAGGCAGAAAGAACTAGGACTTCCGACATCTGATGAACAGAAGAAACAGGATGTCATCAAAAAGTAAGTCTCGACGATGTTTTTATCGTGTTATATATCGATATCCACATTTTGAATTAATTAATAAATTGTTACATTTTGTTGAATTTTTCTAGGTTTATGGAGCAACATCCTGAAATGGACTTCTCGAAGTGTAAATTCAATTAAAATAATTTAATAATATTCTGGCGCACTTAATAATATTCTGGTATTATACATTAAAATATTTTTGAGATATACATATCTCGCTTTTTATTATCATATTACAATATGCGATCTTCTATGCTCGACGTTTCCATATCGTGAAGAAGAAAGTCAATGTAATTACAAAGATGGCAGCACAATGTTAGACTATGATGCCATATACAGAGTTCTACTAATGCGATTGAAATTTCGATCTTTTCATTTTTTCTTCACTATTTTTTTACATTTTCCTTACTTTTAAAGAAAAAATGCATTGCACAGTTATCTAATTTCTATATTTGCGCTTCTCTTATTTATCGAACTCTTTGGAAAGAAGATAGATTAGAATTGTATGAAAAAGACATAACTTTAAGAATAAAAATCATATAACTGTTTATATTTTTTTCTTTCCCAATGTATTATTTTTAACCTTTTAATCGTATTTTGACCTTCAAAATTAAAAAAATAATCGTTTAATTACGTTACCTTTAATCAAAGGTATACATTTCATTCCCTGATTTCTTGTTGTGTGTATATATATATAATGACAACATATTTTTGAAGAAAGTGAAATGTGCTATATAGTAACAAGTTACAACATACTTAATTTTATATCTGCGTAATTTTGCGATTTTTCGTAATTTTAAGATTTTTATCGCTATGCTACTTGAAATCTGTGTCCTGATTGCCCGTTGTATTTTTAATTTCTATGCTCGTTTATGCATGAACACTATAATTACAATTATAATACAGTTTGATGTTTGCTGTGTTTTTTAAATGTAATCGTCAGTTTGCTTCATCACTTTCATAATCCAACGCACGTAATTAGATAGTCTGGCGTATATACCAAATTTACCGCGCTTACCACAACCTTCGCCGAAACTAGTAATACCAAAAATTGTCCACGGATGTTCGGGTTTTCGAGGATCTCTGCAGAGCAGAGGTCCCCCACTATCACCCGCACAAGAGTCCATTTTACCACGGCGATAACCCGCACAGAACATATTATCTGTTATTCTGTAATCCACGTAGACCTCTCGACAAGTCTCGGGAGACACTATTGGAACCTAAAATTGAATTTTACATTCGTATTATTTTTCTAAAGTACACAATTGTGATTGTGGGCTCATTATTACTTTATTAATCTTTAGAAGATGAGATCTGTTTTTAAAATCTTACAGTTTTTCTTTAAGTTAAGATTTGTGATAATTCATTATTTTTCATTGTATTCTTAAAATATAACATTGTTTCTCTCTCAGCACTACTATAATGACTTTTCCGCGCGTCATATAAAGATTAAATAGTCAAATTTTTTTAATTAAATTGCATACTTTAACTTCGTGCAGCACATCCGTTCCGAAATCATCCGTCACGCTGGACTTGCCCCAGCCGATAATGGTGCATAACTGATTCGTAGGTAAGGGCTGCTTTGGTGCGGGTAAACACGCAATCCCTCTCGAAGGAGATGGGGTCAAGGTAACTGGTAAACGAAGTAGAGCCACATCGTTATCAACAGTATCGGCATCGTACTCCGGGTGGATGGTCACTGAGTCCACCTACGCAGTCATAGAATTAATCAGCAACGGCATGAAATTGTCTATCTAGCTCTTAACTGCGACACGTACCCTAAGCTCTAATTCCGTAGCTTCTTTCACCGTTAAATCGTGCTCTCCAATACGAACATAAAGGCGTTTTCTAATGCAATGCGCGGCAGTTAATACCCACCTTGGGGATACCAATGTTCCACCGCAAAAAGCTTCCTGGAAAAAGAAAAGCAGTTAAGTTTGGTCCAGACAATTGTAAAACCTTTCTTGCTCATCAACCATTTGTAGGCGTTTATGATTTATATTATTTGCTGTTTCTAGGAAATGAGATTTATTCATTGTAAATGTACCCGAAATCGATTTAACACAGCCACTTGCCATGGCCAGCTTCCAGGTGCAGTTGGACGGCCGCCGATAATTCGTGTGAAGTATGATAATCTGGATCCTTTATGAGTCGCTATTCCGCACTTCCAAATATTTGAATTCTTCTCTGAAGCGAAGCTATCCACGGTATTAGGATTGAGTTCGAACTCGTCCAACACCAAGTCTAGAAAATCAATAAAACTAGCTACTCTTTTTTGTTATTAGTACTCAATGTTAAATTGAAATAGATTTAACACATATAAAAAATAAGAGCATAAAAAACCACAGCACAAGTTATAGTTTGTGATATTTAATTATTATTACATTAATTAAAACATTAAACGTTTCGGCCACAATCTGGCCATCTTCAGTAATTCAATAATATTCTTAAAACGCAGAGTTACATCTAGTTGACATTAAATTCAACAGTCGAGAGTTGTAATTAAATAAACATGTTCTTTTGTATGTGAAGATGCTTCATGCAGTAATGTTACACCGTCAATTGTCATATCAAGAAAAGTGTAGAACAAGAATTTCCCGATTCTAAATAAAATTGTATATATTAAAATCTTCTAGTCAGAATATAAAGAAATAGAATCATTACCTGTTTTACAGCAAAAAAACCAAACGATGAATCTCGAATATTTCTTTTACACAGTTAGAATTTTGTCGTGACATTATGTGTTGTTATTTGTCCTATCATATATTTTACCACTATTTATATATCTGAGAAGAGGAAAATAAACCTCAGGCAAACCTTCCGTGTCACTTTGCTTATTGATACCACTTGTTTGTCTTTTCATATAAAAAGACGAGAAGGTTTATTTCAGATATATTATCAGATATATAAATAGTGGTAAAATATATGATAGGCCAAATAACAACACATAATGTCACGACAAAATTCTAACTGTGTAAAAGAAATATTCGAGATTCATCGTTTGGTTTTTTTGCTGTAAAACAGGTAATGATTCTATTTCTTTATATTCTGACTAGAAGATTTTAATATATACAATTTTATTTAGAATCGGGAAATTCTTGTTCTACACTTTTCTTGATATGACAATTGACGGTGTAACATTACTGTATGAAGCATCTTCACATACAAAAGAACATGTTTATTTAATTACAACTCTCGACTGTTGAATTTAATGTCAACTAGATGTAACTCTGCGTTTTAAGAATATTATTGAATTACTGAAGATGGCCAGATTGTGGCCGAAACGTTTAATGTTTTAATTAATGTAATAATAATTAAATATCACAAACTATAACTTGTGCTGTGGTTTTTTATGCTCTTATTTTTTATATGTGTTAATATTAGAACCACGTTAGTTTCAAGATATTTTTGAAATAGATTTACCATCGCCGTCTTCTTCGTGGCTACCGCGAATCTTTCGATGGATCCATCTTTGGCAGAAACTACCTTCGACGTAGCAATAGGCGCTTTCTCGTATCACATCGCGCTCGCAAATTCCAGGCTTTCTGCACCATCTAATCACAACAAATAGATAATATATAATATCAGTTTTGAACATGGTATAATTCTAAACGAAATAAAATAGTCCAATACAATATTTTAAATTCATGTTGTATGGACAGTGTTAAGAATATCAAACAAGAAAAAAATCAAACTTGAACTCTGAAAATTAGATTATTTTATTTTGTTCAGAATTGTACCATGTTCGAAATTGTATCTTACCCTAATTTTATACAAATTTCTGTAATACCTATGACGTTGAGTAGTGCACAGTCTCGTGCAAGGCGACCATTTACTCCATTTTCCATATTGTCTTTTGGAGTTCTCCTTACTGTTTTTGCCTTTTTGCTTTCCATGCCTAGGCTCTGCTTCTTTAGGTATCTGTTGAAAATGCGCATTAGCAATCGAAAATCAAATATTAATGCATGCCGCGACTTACTTGAACGACGTGAAATCTTTCGTTTCTTCGTCGATGTCTCCGGCGCTGACGTTGTTTGCATCGCCTTTGACGACCCTTTCTGTTATGTTCGCAACCACGTTCCTCCTGAACCACGACAATCCGTTAATAAAAAATTGTTCACAATATCGTGTAATTATGTAGTTCACATATTTACCTTAAGTACAGTAGTCCCGCAATCTTTTTTTGATCGGCACTTCCTGACGCGATTTTGCATGCAGTGTCGATCGCAGACCGACCATTCGCTCCAATTTGTGAAGTGAGATAGCTTTGTCGCTCCTGTTATCAAAGTAACATGCGAGAATATAGATTAGGAATAAAAAAAATATATGTAAAGTTGAAAATATTGTAAGAAAATATTTTTTCGATCGTAGAAAATTTATGGAAAACCAATGGCGCACATACACTTACTGTTCTTTGGTAAATGCTCTGCAGACAGTTGGTCAATCGAGTGAAGGCAGCTTACGTTGCTTTTAACTCCAAAGAATGTCTTATCTTCAGTCTAAAATTTTTAAATATATGTACATACTTAATGATATAATAATTTAGATTTTTTTATTATTAAATCAAAATTTTATGGATATAACTGGCCCGATGAATACAAAAATTTGTAATTGATAATTACAATTTCAAATTGTATTTATTCAAAATTTTCACATAAATGTAATCACATATTCATTCAAAAATTTTGAATTTTCAAAAAATATTTATTCACAAAAAAACTATGAATATTTAATGAGTATTTATATTCATTCAAACAAATTATAAACTGAAAAAAAAGCTCCAATAAGCAATCGTTATCTCTTAACTATAATCGGTACTTTTTGATGACTTTAAGTAAAAAAAATAAATTTTATTTATTTTTATCGTTGATATAATAATATTCAATATTCAAATTTTATAAAGGAAACTTAGAAATTTTGAAAAATATTTTAGAAAGATATACATTTTTTATTTATAAATCAATCTATTTAATAGAGCGCCATATATATTTCGATATAATTCCGGTTATATAACAGTAATGTTATAAATATTTTATAGGATATCTTGGGCGTCGACTTTCATTATGATCTGTGGACATTAAATTTTGAGATATATTTAATTAAAACGAACGTGGTTTATAAATCAAAACATACAAAAAGAAGAGCATAAAATCACAAGATATTGTTTATGATATTTAATATATCATTACATTAATAAAACATTTTTTAGACGTTTCGGCCACAATCTGATCATCTTCAGTAAATTCATAAATATTCTTAAAACGCAGAATTACATATATCTGACATTAAATTCAGCCGTCATGTAATATAACTATAAACGTTCTTTCATCTTGTGAAGGTGCATCGTACAACAATGTTGCAGCACCAATTGTCATATTGCAAATTATGTAGAACAAGAATTTCCAAATTCTAATTTAAAAAATTAACCTATCATTAATATCTTCTAGTCGATTGTATGAGAATTGAATTGTTACCTGTTTTACAGAAAAATTATTATTTGTCATATCATATATGTTACCACTATTTATATATATGTCAAAAGTTTAAATTGTTCTAGAATTATTTAATAAGTGTGAGAGAGATCTTTCTTTAGAAAAGGTAGAGATCTTTACCTTTAGAAAAGGAGAGATCTTTCTTTAGATAAACATCGGGCAAACCTTCCGTGTCACTTTGCTTATTGATACTACTTATTTGGCTTTTTATGTACATCAGTACAATAGAATAGAAGATGGCTAGATTGTGGCCGAAACGTCTAAAAAATGTTTTATTAATGTAATGATATATTAAATATCACAAACAATATCTTGTGTTGTGGTTTTATGCTCTTCTTTTTGTATGTTCTGAGATATATTATTTATTCTCAATAAAAATATCTTTGTTCATTCATTTTTTATTCATTTATTCGAATATTAAGTGTAATCATCGAAAATATTAGATATAACAATATTCAATATAACAATTCTTTTAATTATTTTGGATGTTATTGTTGTTTAATTAACACACATTATATATTGCTAACTTAGTTTATTAAATTCTAAGACTAGAGGAGATCGGGGACAGAAGTAACAAGGTACAATAGTAACGTCGCCAATATTTCTGAAACTATTTTGTTCCCGGTCTGCCTTATTATTCAACATTCTAATGTTTGAATGACAAGCTGCAGTCATTTTATTATGTTTTAACCTTGTTGAAAGGATTAATATATCAGTGAAAATTTCACATCATATTATCTCACTTGACACGCCTCTGTGTCGACAGTGGCTGCATACTGATACGATTACCTTAAAATTATCTGTCCTAGACCGAAAGATTTAATAGATACGGCCTGGCCAGCACTCTATTTAGTTCTATCATTTAGTATGCTCCAAGGTTGTAACGCCCAAGTCGCAACATTAAACTCAATTTGCCCGCTGGTAATGGCATCGCGACATAACCGTCGTCGGCGCTAATCATGCGTTACACGATGTCACCGTGTCGACAAAGTACGTAGGCATATAAAATTACTGTCATTTCGCTGTCGCGCCTTCTTGAAGCTCCTCGAAATCTATACTCGCTCTGAAATTCCGAACAATAGTTACTGATTGCGATGATTCATTTATAGTTCATGAATTCAGATGCGATCAAAATGGTACTTGAAACATCCTTTCATCAGCAACATTACTGTGCGTTGTTCAAAATAAAAATGATACAAAATTCTATTACCTAATAGAGACTGGTTGTCTCGAAATTTAATATCGAGTTTGTAATAGCAGAAAAAAAATATATAGATATTTTATTAAGCTCTATGTGTGTGTTTGTGTGTGTGTGTGTGTGTATTATTTAATTCGAAGCTTTATTAAGTTATTTTTAAATAATGCTTATTGATAATACTTTTTGGTAAGTTAATGTTTCTTTAAAACTAAATTAAGTTAAAGTTAATTGCTTATAAAATTAATAAAGTTAAGTTAAAAGTTGAAGGAATAAAGAATTAACTTAATAAAAGTTAAGTTAAGATTGAATTAACTTAAGTTTAAAAAAAAGTTAATTTTGAAATAAAATATTTTTGAGATCAAAATGTCCTAATTTTTTTTTAAATAAGATTACTTTCACACTTATAAATATAGATTATTATATATTTTATTATATAGATTATTATAGAAAAATTTAATTAAAGTTAATTTTTTTTATATTCGCATGTAAGTTACTTATATATAATAAGAGTAATACTACAAGATATTTTTGTAAAATCTTGCAAAGAAGAAGGGTATATGTTTGCTCTCTCTTTAACTTTTATTTAACTTTCTTTAGCTTCTGGAACGACTATTCATGCATGTTTACAATTACATCGACTAGATATTTGTTACAAAAAATATATGTAAAAATTTATGGTTGGATGTGCAGTACTGTTCTACAACAATTCTTCATCTAAGGCTCATCATTTTATATTTATATTGCTAAAATATAACATTTATGATACCTAAAATTAGTGTGATTCAAATATAAGTGGGAATTGACAAAACCTAGCGAGTTAATAAAAACTGGCTATATGGTGTGGCTCTTATTATAGAGCTTGTCATCATAAAATCATTGAACTTTATCTAAATTAATTCTCTAAGGTTTAAAACTTTATAGAAAAAAATATATAGCATTAAGAGAATTATAGAAAAATTTTTAATTTAAAAAAAGTTAATAAATTAAAGTTTAAAAATAACTAAATAAAGTTAAAAATTACTGCATTTAAAATTAATTGAGTTAAGTTAAAAGTTATTAACTTTTTAACTTTTTTTTAACTTTTAATGTTTTAATTAGTTACTACCCTGCTTTTTGGAAAAGGATTGTATAATACTATAAACATGATAAATTTAAATAAAATAAAGAGAGTAAGAGCGAGAGATATTTATCTAAATGTTTTTCAAGTTTATACTATACGAGAATTTCAAACAGAAAAAAAAACGTTAATAAATTTTAAAGAAAAATGAAGACATTATTACTAATGTTTTAATTTGATAAGTCTGCAAATAAGTTGAATGTGTGTGTTTTTATTAAATATAATGATATTTAACAAGTTTTAATAAGATACATGCTTCCGGATAATCTCTAACAAATCTTCTTTAAGTGAGTGATATATAACCGCAAATTGTATTAGCACATTGTCCATAAATTAAATATTCATTTTCAACGTGTGAATGTTATGCTTATCATTATTCGGCATTTAAAAATCGAGACAGAAATAATTTCTGGCTGTGCACATTAAAAACAGTTACAGTTTAATGCCATCGTGTTTGGCTGTGAATTTTTGTGGAATGCACGAGAACGAGTTTTCAATTCAAATTGTGCTCGCTCAATGCATTAATTAATTAAAATATGCAAACGAATCTGCATGTGCAATTACTGATGAATCTTTAGCAACTGGAATCTCGAAGCATTTCGTGGATTCCGAGACGATAACCGATTAATGAATTTATTTTATATAAGTATTTTCGAGGTACTGCCCATGAGTAGAATATTATCGAAAAGTTAATAAAATTACATATGTATCTGAACCGGATTTGGTGACTGTGCTATGAATATTTAATTGATATCAATTAAACGTAATAAAGCGATATCCCGATGTAGGCACATACAATGAAATTTATACGTAAAAGTAATATTTTGTCTGATATAAATTACTCTGAAATAACGAAATAGTTTGATAGAAAACAAGCAATGATGACTCATTAGTACGGAATTATTTGTCAAAAGAAGGAACGCAAGATAAAAAAAAACACGAAATGAAAGAAAATCTTGGCGATCTTGGAAAGGACAACAAATGAAATAAGAGAAATTTGTATGCGGCAAGGTTAGCGTGTCCAAACTAGGCTGAGACGTGCGGTACCTTGCATCTCGGTGACAATCCCGCAAAAAGTTTGTGCTGCTAAAAAGGAAGACAATCCCGCGGAGTAAAGTAGAAGAGCACGTTACTTGTTGACCAACGAGACATCCATCGTCTGAAAAATCCTGTACGAGGTCTACGCAAGAATGGCGAATATCAAGAACGAATATCAAGAAATCTTTATCTACATCCGCGAAAAACTATGCTATTTTATATGAAGTTTAACTAGCCAATCAAGCCTTCCAAATCGCATATACAGTATTGTCCACATCGAACCATTAAATTCTATTTATGGACAGAAAGTTGAACGCGAAGGGTTGCACGCATGAGTAAAGTCTTATATCATTGTATCGAGGATTTTGTCAAAGATTGTGCTCACTTGTGCTAAACTAACACAATTGTTAGGTACACAATTTTATGCTATTTAAATAACTGATGCGAACGTAAATATTAATTGTATTCAGAATTTTTAAAAATTATTTTTTGTCATATAACTCCTGTTGTTATCACTATTTAAAAGTAATACTTTAGTACAATGTTAACATTACCTAACATAATTCAAAAATTTGGAAAAAATGCAAACTGGGGTCGACTTAAAAATCGTTTTTTTTTTTATTTTTAAACGTATTTTTTATATGATTTTAATAT